CAACAAACGTCAGAAACAACCACAAAAAAATAAATTCCCGCATGAAAATTTATTTTTTTTACGAAAAATATTAAATTTTCGATAATAATTTAAACAAAAATGTTGAATTTTTAAAAGAAAACAAGTACAGCAAGGCTATTAAAACCTTGAAAACTAAAATTTACCACAAAAATAGCCAAAAATCAACATAATTCCATTAAAAACATAAGGTTCTTAGCAAAATCTTAAACCAAATAAAAGTAACAAAACGTATGTAAGTAAATCATAATAAACACCACGTAGGCAATTGGAAATTTATATTTTTACCTTTTCTTTAATTTTAGCTATTAAAATAAAATGTTGCCGCTTACGCATCGTGATCGAAGCAATTGTATGTACCGTATCAAGGATACTTTAAATAGTTGGAAAAGATTAATTTTCTCGGATAAGAATTCGAGAAACTTATTTCTTTTTCTAATTTTAAATTTAAGTTTTGCCTTTGTGGAACTATTCTATGGTATATGGACCAACAGTTTGGGTATGTACAAATGTGTGAAAATGCTGTGATAGATAAGATAAACTTAAATTAGATTACAATAGACATAAAAATGCTTGTTAAAGAATTTTGCAGTAATTTTATATTTTATTTCTCCCCCCCTTTTTTAGGTCTTATATCAGACTCATTTCATATGTTCTTTGATTGTACCGGTCTCTTGGCTGGTTTGGCAGCATCAGTTATTACAAAATGGAAAGCTAATGAACGATTCTCATATGGTTATGTGAGAGCTGAGGTATTGGCCGGTTTTGTTAATAGTCTTTTCTTAATATTTGTGGCTTTCTTTATATTGTCGGAGGGTGTTGAACGTCTTATAGAACCTCCGGAGGTGAAGCATGAAAGACTATTTGTGGTCTCAGTATTGGGTTTGCTGGTAAATCTTGTGGGAATTTATGCCTTTAATCATGGTGGACATGGTCACTCACATGGCGGTGGTGGTCATGGTCATTCGCATGGTGGAGGCGGTGGACATGGTCATTCACATGGTGGTGCCAGTGGACATTCACATTCCAACAATCATTTAGACTCGAATAGTCATCAAGCTATCTTATTGGATGATGGTAAGTAAACTCACTTTTATTGTGTAAAATTTGATTAGTGGTAGTTCCCCACAACCGATAATTCTCTGTATTTAATATACAAAATTGAAAATCTTCTATTTATTATCAATAATGAAATATATATTTTTTCTTGTTTCTAGATCAGTTCTAGTTCCGTTCTAGTTCAGTTCTAGTTCAGTTCTAGTTCAGTTCTAGTTCAGTTCTAGTTCAGTTCTAGTTCAGTTCTAGTTCAGTTCTAGTTCAATTCTAGTTCAGTTCTAGTTCATTTTTAGTTCTGTTCTATTTCAGTTCTATTTGAGTTCTAGTTCAGTTTTAGTTCAGTTCTATTTCAGTACTAGTTCAGTTCTAGTTCAGGTTTAGTTTAGTTCTAGTTCAATTCTAGTTCAGTCCTAATTCAGTTCAAGTTCAGTTCTAGTTCAGTTCTAGTTCAGTTCTAGCTCAGTTCTAGTTCAGTTCTAGTTCAGTTCTAGTTCAGTTCTAGTTCAGTTCTAGTTCAGTTCTAGTTCAGTTCTAGTTCAGTTCTAGTTCAGTTTTAGTTCAGTTCTAGTTCAGTTCTAGTTCAGTTCTAGCTCAGTTCTAGTTCAGTTCTAGTTCAGTTCTAGTTCAGTTCTAGTTCAGTTCTAGTTCAGTTCTAGTTCAGTTCTAGTTCAGTTCTAGTTCAGTTCTAGTTCAGTTCTAGTTCAGTTCTAGTTCAGTTCTAGTTCAGTTCTAGTTCAGTTCTAGTTCAGTTCTAGTTCAGTTCTAGTTCAGTTCTAGTTCAGTTCTAGCTCAGTTCTAGTTCAGTTCTAGTTCAGTTCTATTTCAGTTCTAGTTCAGTTCTAGTACAGTTCTAGTTCAGTTCTAGTTCAGTTCTAATTAATTCTTAATTCAGTTCTAAATCATTTCTTGTTCAGTTATAAATAAACGGCTCTAAAAACTAAATTTTATTTCATTTTATTTATTATAAATAAACTTTATCAATTTCCCTATCCCCCTTATTCATTACAGGACACGGTCACTCACACGGCGGTCACTCGCACAATGATGACGTTGGCGGTAGCAATTCACAAATTATGCGCGGAGTCTTCCTGCACATTTTAGCCGATACACTCGGCTCTGTTGGCGTTATTATTTCTGCTGTTCTCATGCATTTATTCGGCTGGATGATAGCCGATCCAATCTGTTCCATTTTCATCTCTGTCCTAATTGTTCTGTCCGTCTTGAGTCTCATCAAAGAATCAATTTATGTATTAATGCAAAGACAACCGGTCAGTTTAGATCGTTTACTACCTCAGTGCTATCAAAAAGTCACCGGTTTGGCCGGTGTGTATGCAGTACAAGAGCCTCACTTTTGGACTCTGTGTTCGGATGTCTTTGTGGGTGCTATTAAACTAGAAGTATCACGTAATATTGACCCTAAATATGTTGTTTCACATACACGTATGATTTTCGAATCGATAGGCGTTAAACAAATCTATATACAATTGGATTATGTGTGATAAACTTTTTTATTTTTATTTATATGTATGTACAATATTTAAAATAGAATATTTAAAACAAGAAAGCCTGTTTTGCAAATGATTTCTCTCAACATTAATAATAACAGTTTTGACTGGAATTTTTTTGTACCCATACCGCTACTACTACTTTAAAAACATTAGCAATTTGTTTAAATCTACTACTTATAAATTTTAAGGATAATTTCTTTGCCCAAGTTTTTAATTTTATTATTTAGAAAACAAACTGTACAATTGAGAACTAAGTTCTTTATTATATTCTTTTAGTGTTGATTTTAAAATTATATTAATTATTATAAAACTGTTCATTCTTATTACACATACACAAAGTAGTATTTAACAAGAAAAACAAAACAGTAAAATAAACGAACAGTTAACATTTTAAGTCCATTTATTAATTGTTCTTTTATTATTTGTAAAATTATTAAATCATTCCATCAACACCAAATTATAAACAAAAAGATGTTTAGAAAATTTAAATTCTATATATTTATTAAGAACAAAATTAAACGATCTAAATAGAAATATCACTACAAAAGGACTGTCATTTTACTAATAAAGAAAAATTAACAAACAAAAGATAGTATAGAATTTAAACAAATACCCCAAGTGCAGCATTCAGTTGTATAAATATGTATTTACTAAGAAAATAGTTGAAAAAAATGAAACGAAAAACTAATTTGAATTGTAAATAAATAAGTTTTTTATTTAAATTGATATTGTTGTTTTATTAATATATTTTAGAAATTTCAAATATCATGTTAATTTTAATGGCTTTAAAAGTTATGATCAGGGAAACCAAAAATATGTTCTAAAAAGTGTTTTAAGCGAATAAAATATGCAGTAAAAAACGAAAAATATGCTCTTAAAATGTATAAAATATACTCTAAATATAAACGTTTTAAAGATTTATTAACATTGAAAAGTTCAAAAGGACTGCAAATTATGATCTGAAATAAACAATATAATGTCTCATCGTTTGAAGAAGGTAATTTTTAAATAAATATTGAGTCTAAATGTTAATTTTAGAAATTGATTTTTTAAAGTTTAGTAAGATTCCATTTAGCGTTCAGATAACCAATAAATAACATGAATAATCGCCACATTTGGTTCCTAACAAATTCCAAAGAAGAAATTGTGAAACGGAAATAAAGCTCAAAAAATAAAATATGCTATAAAAATGTTGGGAATACACCAGAAGATATAATCCTTGCGCAAGGCCAAAGGCCGATTTTACGAAAACAACTTTTTATCTAATACATAATGGTAACCCAAATAATTAGGGAATGCCAAAATATATTTTTTGCGAAGACGGTGTTGAATATACCTCAAACAATGAAATCCTTGCGACCGTTCAAAGGAAAGCTCTCATATAAATTCCATATAAAAATATTTATGAACCCGTAAATCATAAAATATAGTTCGCCGTCAATTTTTTTATCTTCTACCACTTAAACACATTTGTTGGTATTTTCTTAAACTTAGGTAAACTAGATTTGTTTCCATTTTTATATTAATTTGCATTAAGTACCGATTTTATAAATGATAATTTAATACTTTTAATCACTCGAAATCCATTTTTATTTAAAATCGTTGAAAAATTTAAAAACAAGGCGGAAAACTTATGCGGCTTGCAGCCGATTTTTATTCGCCGTCGCCGTTAATGTTGTCAGCGCAGGACTCTGCCTTCCATGCGGTTGTTGTTTTTTTTTTTTGCAAAATATGAAAATTTGCAACAAGTTTGTATGAATATGGATGTGAAATTATTTAAAAAAACAACACTATTTAATTTAACAACAAACTGTTTACATAATGTAAACAATAAATATAAACAATTAACTACAGTCAAATTGATAACTGTAAACATTTGGCTTTTCTTAAGTATATTTTAGCCAGACTATTCTATATTGAGGTTAGGTTTTTGTTTCTAGAATTTGCAAATACATACAACAAAGAAAATGCATGAAAAGGTAAAAAAGAAGAAAATAGGTTAAAGACTACCCAGCCTTAACCTATTTTAAGCAAGACAGAAAGACAAGTATGAAAAAGTGCATAGTAAAAGAAAAAACAGAAACTGGGGTATGAGAATGTGGGAAAATTACAGTTCAAAGAACTGTAACTGTATTACAAGATGATAAATAATTGCACCACCACCATATTGCTGTGGTTTAGCGAAAAATGCAAATGACTCATCAATATTGCTGTGATTTCTTTCGCCATTTCCCCAGAAATTCAAGACATTTTTATAGTTTTGTTTTATTTATTTTTTGTTCGCAATATTTTTGTATGATATATAATTTTTCCACGTTTTCTTTTTAAATATGTATTTTTAAGTTGGTAATATTTTAAAACAATAATTTTTAGACTGCCTAAACACAACATATGGAAATAGAAGAAAAAATGCTTTGCTTTATGTTTTTAGCAATAGAAAGAGAATCGTATTTTTTTTTATTAATTTAATAAATTCTTTGTTTTGCAAGCTGCTGTTGGAAGGAGTTTTTAAATGTTCTGTTACCAGTTTTCTCGGCAGACTTAAATTCTCTTTCTGTAGTTACAATTTCATTAAGGCATTTACAAGACTGTTACTTTCTTAAATACATAATTTCTATTGTTTTTTATTTAATATAAGTTTTACATATTTTTTAATTATGAAGTTGTATTCTATGTTTTTTTTTTCATTACGACAATATAAAATCTTGGAACCAATTATAAATTAATGTTAAATTTTTACGTTAAGAAACAGAAACATCTCTAAGAATTTCGTCCAAAACATAGTCCGTGTTTATGTATTAACTTAAATTATTATAAAAATTAAAAATTGAAACTAAATATTTAATGCGTTTGTGAGTAAGTGTATAAAAAGAGCTTTCAGTTGTTGTTCAGGTTGAATTAGCACTTTTCTTCTTCCAAGCCGTGTTTGAAGAACATAAGGACGGGCACACTTTGACCATCGATATCACGGTACTCACACATAGCAACCATACCGTCGCAGTCCATGGATTCACCAGTGAAGAATTGCAAATCCTTGAAACGACCCAAGATTTCCTTCATTACCTTGTTCATGTTGTTCTTGAAAACATCGATTTGATCGGGGGCTCTCTTTTCCAATTCAGCCAACACCTTCTTCATGTAATCCTTCAAGTACAAGGTGAAGCCCTTCTTGTCACCGAAAGCGAAGCATTCTTGCAAACGGTGATTGAGGACAACATCGACACCGGTCTCGACAGTGGATTCGGTACCTTCATCGGCTTCTTCGGCTGAGGGATTGAAACCTTCAATTTTGATATCGCCTTCGCTGCGGCTGACTACTTTGCCATAAACCTCGTAAATTACATCATCGACCAATTTTATTTTGTAGGTATCGGCGAACATTTCATCACCAGTAATGATATCCTTGTAGATTTTCATGATGTCGAGGTTGGTTTTTATTTGTTGGTAAAAAAATTAAAAAATAAATTCACACAGTCACACACCGAGAGGATACAAATTGCGGGAATCCGGACACACGACGTTTGCCACGCGCTCAATTCAACAGCGAAAAGAAAGAATTCGACAACGTCAAAGAAAATTTAATGGCGACGTCTAAACAGTGTTGCCGTCTAAGTTTTTTGAAAAAGTAGTAGATAATATGTAATCTATATGATGACAAATAAACATTAACATTGTGGAATTTGAAAGTTTAATATATAAAATAATATTAGCTTCAAGTTTTAGAGATTTTTCATTAATTATTATATGATTTTTTGTTGTTATTTGCAAAAATATTTGCATCAGTACTAGTTATTTGCAACTGTGAGTGATGCTATTCGTTGGCGGCTGTCAAACGGCATTTTTTGTAATAGATTTACACCGTTGCATTTTGAAGTAAATACACAGTGTTGCATATTTAAAAATCCATATAGTCGTGGAGAAAGGTTTGTATAAATTGGGATATATTATTTTTTATTTATTTTTTTTAAGGTTATCCCCACAATTTGTTAAGATATAGCTTTGTGAAGAAAATTTTTGAGAATTAGTACACTATTTCTACAGAAAATAACAATTCTGAAAAGAATCTTGCTGAGAATTATCATTAGTTTTCTATTGAAAATATGCAGAGAATCAGCATCACAGAAAATCGATATTAGTATTTTATAGAAAATTTGCTAAAAAATCAGAATTAGTTTTCCATAGAAAACTTGCTGTCACAGTCAAAAGTTTACTACAGAAAATTTTTAGTTTTGCATAGAAAATTTGCTTAGAAAAAAGTTTTCTTTAGAGAATTTGTTGAGCATCAGCATTAGTTTTCGATACAAATTTCACAGAGGACACAAAAAAATTAGCTGAGAATCATAATTTTCTAATATGCTGACAATTAGTATTAGTTTTTTATATTGTTGAGAATCTACAATAGTTTTCTATAGAACATTTGTTGAGAGTTAGCATAAGATTTCTATAGAAAACTTGCTGATACTTAGCATTAGTTTTCTATGATAAAATTGTTTATGTATTTATGTGTGTAACACCAAGAAATATTCATCTGAGACCCAACAAAGTATATACATATATATTCTGGGTCCTTATCAAATTCTGAGTCGATTTAGCTATGTCCGTCTGTCTGTGTAAAACACGCTCACGTTAAAACGAAGCAATAGAGTTCAACCAATTTCACCCAAAACGTTCTTCATTTTCCTAAGTTGTTTGGTATTGAAAATGGGCAAAATCGGTTAACACCGGGAAAAGTTATGAATCAAAATTTAAAACAACCTCGAAAAAAATAAGCATTTTTTACACATTCTGATGTAATTTTCTCGAAAACTATGCAAGATAATTCCATGAAAATCACCACACATTCGTTTCCACATAAGGGCTTAACCCCTGCTGAAAATTGCCAGAATCGGTCCACAATTTCATATACCTCCCATACAGAAGTTGCGGGAAAATGAGTTTTTTGTTAATAACTTCTGTCACAATGTCGATATCTTCACAAAATTAAACAAATTAAAATCTTATGTCAATAGAATTCATTCAGAGAAAAAATTTTCTGGATCGGTCCATAATTGGACATAGCTCCCATACAAGGTCCCTTCCCGAAAATCACATAAACCCGCATAACTCATTACTAAATTAAGATATCTATATAAAAGTTGGTACAAGTATTGCCCATATGCATTGAAATATTACTGTGAAAGTTTTTTCCGACCGATCCATAATTGGTCATAGCTCCCATACAAGGTCCCCTCCCGAAAATCACTTAAACGTGCATAACTCATTACTAAATTAAGATATCCATATACAATTTGGTACAAGTATTGCTTATATGCACAGAAATATTACTGAGAAATTCCGATCGTTCCATAACTGGTCATAGCTCCCATACAAGGTCTCCTTCCGAAAATCACTTAAACGCATATAACTTATTACTAAATTAAGATATCCATATAAATTTTGGCAGAAGTATTGCTCATATACAGAGAAATATTACTGTGAAATTGTTTTCCTATCGGTCCATAATTGGTCATAGCTGCTTTACAAGGTCCCTTTCAGAAAAACACTTAAAGGCACAAAACTCATTTTACGATCGGTCCATATTTGGTCATAGCTCCCATACAAGGTCCCCTCCCGAAAATCACTTAAACGCACATAACTCATTACTAAATTAAGATATCCATATAAAATTTGGTACTCATATGCAGAGAAATATTACTGTGAAAGTTTTTTCCGATCGGTCGATAATTGGTCATAGCTCCCATACAAGGTCCCCTCCCGAAAATCACTTAAACGCACATAACTCATTACTAAATTAAGATATCCATATAAAATTTGGTACTAGTATTGCTTATATGCACAGAAATATTACTGAGAAATTCCGATCGTTCCATAACTGGTCATAGCTCCCATACAAGGTCTCCTTCCGAAAATCACTTAAACGCATATAACTTATTACTAAATTAAGATATCCATATAAATTTTGGCAGGAGTATTGCTCATATACAGAGAAATATTACTGTGAAATTGTTTTCCTATCGGTCCATAATTGGTCATAGCTGCTTTACAAGGTCCCTTTCAGAAAAACACTTAAAGGCACAAAACTCATTTTACGATCGGTCCATATTTGGTCATAGCTCTCATACTAGGTCCCCTTCAGAAAATCACTTAAATGCACAATATTTATTACCAAATAATGATATAGATACAGAATTTTGAAATTTTGTCTTTATATACATAATTAGTCATAGCTCCCATACAAGGTCCTTTTATGAAAATCTCTTAAACGCACATTACTCATTACCAAATAAAGCTATTGATACAAAATTTGGCACAAATATTAGTTTTGTATACAAAAATTCTATTTCATGATTTTTTCACGATCGGTTCATAACATGGGTGCGGTCGGTCCCATACAAGGGTCCCTTCAGAAAATCACTAAAACACACATTACTTATTACTAAATTACGATATAGATACAAAATTTGACTGAAATATAGCTTTTATGTACAGAAATTTTGCTTAAAGATTTTTTTACGATCGGTCTATATTTGGTCATATCTCCCATACTAGGTCCTGCCCCTAAAAGCATATATATATATATATATATATATATATATATATATATATATATATATATATATATATATATAAATTCCTGTTATTCCTATTAGGAACATAGGGCCTCAAAAGCATAACCGTATTTAACTAGTTGCATTATCATTTTGTGTAGAACAAAATTATATATATGTATGTATTTTGAAAATCCTCAAATCTTTCACACACGTGCATACATGCAAATTACTAAATATTGCTAAGCGCTATAAAAATATAAAAGAAAATGGCGTGTGTAATGTTAAATAAATCTTGGAATTGTAATATATTTAAGTTGTTTAAATCTTGGGATTTTTCTATTTAAGACATGAGAAAACTTATTTCTACAAATATTAGATCAATCAAAAAAGTATTAATATAAAAGTAGCTGGTGGAGGGTATTTAAGATTCGACTCAGCCGAATATAGCACACTAACTTATTTTTGTTCAAAATAAAACATTAATATGGTAATAGATTAACAGTACTACACATTGACAACAACATTTATTTTCCCATCAAAATAGTGCTGCCAAGTTCTATAAATACTTTTGACATCTGTAAGTAAAAAAGAACAAGCATTGTCAGTGGTATTTTCTTCGACCAACTTAAGTTTTTTCCTGGTTTAAAAATGTAAGTTTTTATATAATTTTTAAAGAAATTAATAATTTAATTGCTATAATTAATTTCAACAGGTATGCCGTAACACGTTCCCTTATCCGTTCACCTGCTTTGCGCCAAGGCTTGCAAATGGCCCAAGCCCAAAGGCAAGTAACAATGAAAGTTGTACCTGCTGCCAGCACCGTCAAAGAGGAATCATTCTCGGACAAAAATATCCGCTTGGGTCGCGAAATGTCCCCTCACTTGACCATTTACAAGCCCCAATTGACCTCTTTGTTGTCGTTGACTCACCGTGCAACTGGCATTGTTTTGGGTACTGCCGTTTGGGGTCTTGGTTTAGCTGCTCTCAGCTCTCCCCAAGATATTGCCAACTACGCTGCCGTAATTGAGGGTTTGCACTTGAGCGCAGGCACATTGTCTGTAATGAAATTTTTGATTGCTTATCCCTTGGCTTATCACACCGCCAACGGTATTCGTCATTTGTTGTGGGATACTGGTCGTTTCTTGAAAATCAAGGAAGTTTATTCAACTGGTTATGCAATGCTTGGCGTTTCATTTGTTTTGGCTGGCATTTTGGCTGCTTTGTAAAACTAAAAATCTGTGTTAAATTTTAGAAAATTACCGTGTCCAAGTGCTGTGTATGTATTCATTGGGCTCTCATTTACGAAATAAATAAGTTGTAAAGTTTTCTTTTTTCCATCCTATGATTTGTGTTTATTGTTTATGTTTTCTTTTTAACAATGCGTTGCGTGATTATGCAATCATTTGGGGGGATAATAAAACTGCGTTTCTGTGAGTTCTAGATAAAGTGGGTAATTTAAGGTTTATGTTTCGTATAATACAAGTATACCACTTTTTTTACATGTTTTTAGATTGCAACATTTATTTATTTTTTTTTTTTTACTAAACTACACCATTTCCTTTTCATACTTCTTAAATAATTCCTTTTAAGGAAAATGGTTCAAAACTTGTCGACAATCAATAAATATTTTCAATGGAAAATTTGCTGAAAATCAGTATATATTTTCTATAGAATATTTCTAAGTGTAAGTTTTCTATATAAAGTTTAGAATTAGCACTAGCTGCCTATAGATAAGTTGCTGAGATTCAGTTTTAGTTTTCTATAGAATTTTGCAGAGAATCATAGGAAGTTTTCTAGAATCATTACTTGCTTGCAATAAGAAATATTGATAAATGAGTTATTTTTGCGATCGACTTTGTTGTACCTTATCATACTGCACCATATTTAAGTCTTTACACTGTTTTCTTATGAAATTTTATAATTTTGAACCGAATATACCGTATTTTTAAAGGAAATTAAAAAAATTGGGAAATAATACGAACGAAAAGAAACAATCGACTTTCACACAATTGATTTTTTATCGGAAAA